GCGGCGGGGAAAGGGAGGGCGCGTGGCGGCGGGAGGGAGGAGGGCACATGTCACACTCCTTTGTTTTCATCCGAGTCTGGGAGCGGGGGCGGGAGGCCATCGAAATGCCTTCACAACAAAAAATTTCAAGGCTTGGCCCAAAGGGCCCAGAAATGAAACCATACACAAAACAAAACCCCGTGAAGTGTTTGAGGGTAGCATCAATCACATGGGTAGAGGCCCCCAAGCCATGGCAAAGACAAGAATGGGTATTCCACACAGAATTTTTTTTTTTTTAAGCTACTTTCGTTAGTTTCTGGGGGAACAAAAAACTAAAAAACAAACAAAAAAAAATCCCAAGGAACACGGAACAAGAGTCGTGATGCATCTTTGAGAGCCTGGGTGTGAAGATAAGATGCAGAGTGTGATGAGAGCTGTGAGAAAGATGAGGACCAATGTCGCGCCCGTGTTAATTCCACATCTCAAAGGACTCAGTTCAACTCATTGTTAAGAGGGCTCAGTTCTGGATAAAAATATGACACTATTCACAGCTCATATAGGGGGAGGGGGATTAAAAGAGACCTCAGGTAACATGAACATTTATTAAAAGGAGTATCTGTGTTTGAAGAATCTAAGGTAAAATTTGAGTTTATTAAGTTGGTTATATAGAGTTACCTAATGTTTTTAAGAGATAATAAAAAGTAACACACTGTAGGAATCATGCCACAAATTACCTTAATGGTTTATCATTTTCCACATGAAATGTAGATTCACACATGTTCAGAATTCCCTCCAGACAGTTGATAGCAAAACTTGAGCAGAGATCCGTGTTTTCCAAATCCCAGATTCTATCTAGTTTACCAAAGAACTTGAGTTATATTGCTAACGTCAGTATACAAGCACTGTAGGAATGGCACAATGTTCTGGATTTTCATATTGTTGCTAAAGGTTCTTAAAAATTACCATAAACTGACTGAAACATCCCATGTTTCCAGTTGTTTCTAAAAAAAAAAAAAAATTATCCAGGTAGATAATAGCTTTAAAAAGTATCACTGAACATCTCTGTATTTGTTCTCTAACTGTATTGCTAGTGTCTGGAGAATTAATGAAAGATCTTGAAAGTTTTAAAGTTAAACAGTGGTCATTAGAAGAATAAGAGGTTGACACTTCTTTTTTTCCTTTTCAGAATTGTCACTGAGGTTGCTGTTGGTGTGAAGGTAGGAGATTGTGTTTCAAAGTAAAGTGGAAACTAAAAATGTTGAGTCTACTATCATTATAAAGAGTTGAAATTTACAATTAGCCTTGACAACAAAACCCAGTTATAAAATATTTCCTTTAATTTGTAAAGTCAGAGTCTCTAAACACCCGTACAGTTGGACTATAGGATTGGCTAATAAGCTTTTTTTTTTTTTTTTTAAACTCATTAAGTGGTGTTAACTTCGTTAAAGATAGTTTGGCTCTGATTAAAGTGAAATGTGTGTATTAGGAATGAATCACATTGGAAATTAATTAGTTGC